CTCAAAAATACTAAGAGTTTGAATTCCCAGAAAAAAAAAAAAAAAAAAAAAAAAAAAAAAAAAAAAAAAAAAAAAAAAAAAAAAAAAAAAAAAAAAAAAAAAAAAAAAAAAAAGTAAAAACAGAAACAGAAACAGAAACAGAAAAAGAAAACAGTTATTTTCTTTAATTTGCATATTTTTATAAACAGAAAAACCGTTTGGCATTCCAATTGGCGCGATGTTGGTCAACGCGCTGACCACTTGGAACTCAGGAAGTTGTTGCACGCAAGCAAGGCTTACTATTAAAATTTCGTTATCTTTTTGTATCTTTGTTGGTTTTTGAATAATTATTAGGCGATTGCTTGTATGATAGCTGGCAGCTGTGTTTTTGTTCATTACACATGTTATTATCGCGTTCACATATGTATTTATATTAGGGTGGGTCAAAAACTGCGAGTGTATTTTTTTCGCTTGGTGCTCCAAAAAATTGGTTTATAAAATTCTTTAAGAAAGGCTCTCCAAAGTTTTCCAATATCTTCTGCGTCAAATGACGCATAACACTCAAASAGTATTCATTGTTGATAATTTAGCCGGTAGGAAGGAGTTCGGAGTGCACCACACCTCATTTATTGGAGAAACATTGTTAACATAAGCTCAATTTGGACAATTTGGACCACTTCAAAGGTTTTTCGGCTTCGGCTCACTTTTGGCACGATATTCGGCCGATTGATCGTCTGTTTTCGGGTCGTAAGCATAGATCYAAGACTCATCGGCAGTAATAATACGTTTCATGACAGCCTGGTATTGGAAGCCGGAAATTAAAAAGTCTTACTACTTTTTGCCCATAGCAGTACTTGCAAGCGAGATAACAATTTTTCCATCTGATAAAGAGAAAAGATACAATTAAGAGCTCACTGTAGAGCGGGATAATATCAACCAATTTGTCAGACTACTAAGCGAGGAAAAAAATTGATCCACTTTAATGTATATGTATGAGTGTTATATTATATGTCAAATATGTGTATATATGCACCTGCTTTTCTACAAAACACTGTCAAATGTTTGGATAGACAAATTGCGCCGTGGAAGTGGCGTCTTTTCGCAATCAGCAAATTTTTCAATGTGTACATTACGTATTACTACATGTGCATACATATATTCAGTTGTTGATACAATTGCAATAATGGAAGTCGCAGCAGTTGCTGCATTACTATATAACTTCTTTTCCTTTAACTATACATTAAAGTTTGTCTATGACTTGCGATTGCAAAAAAGTGAAATAAACATTGAGTGAAGTTTATAAAAAACTGTTCCCATTCCACAAAACTTCTTTACCTTTAACTATAACTTACCTAAATAGCGCCATTAACGCAAATGTTGAGCTAAAATATGGCACTACGGTACGCGTATTC